TCCTCCTCCTCCTCCTCCTCCTCCTCCTCCTCCTGTTTCTCCAGTTTCTCCATCAGCCGAGGATCCGCGGTGCCGAGGCGGCGCAGAACCTAGGCCAGACAAGGGGGGGGGGGAAGAGAAAAGAAAGGACCCTAACCGAGGCGGTGCCCCCCCCGCTGCCTGGGCCACCGCTGAAGGGACCCGAAGTCATCCTTCAGTGATGGCCCTGGCAGGGGAGCCATCGCCTCCGTGAGGCTCCTGCGGGGGCCCCTCATGACACGAAGCCTCGAACGAGGATGGGGGTGTCGCCTCCGCCAGGCGGCCAGCCCCTCTCTCGATCCAAAGTGGGACGCTGCGGCCGAAACTCACACGAGTGGTGGGGTCCACGCCCCGCCGCAGCATCTCCAGAGACTTACCTGTAGCGTTATTTCGGGGCCTCCCAAAACACACTTCAGCCAACAAATTCATTCGGTGCCTGGCATAGCTGCCGCACCTGGAACACCAAATGACCGGGAGAACAGCACCAGGATCACCTCCCCACAACCGATGCGAGCGGTGAGCCTGGCGACAAATCCTGGGCGAGCCAGAACACTTGAAACTGGCCAGGTGAGTCCAGCTCCGCCCTCGGTCGAGACAAATCGCACACAGCCACCCTTTCCCCCACCGCCCCAGGACGTGCCCATTGGGGTCGGGGCAGAGGATGAGCTGGGCCCCTGGGGGGCGGGGCTTCTTGGCCACAACCTTAGAAACATCACGAAACTTGGGCCTGCCAGCAACCTCGAGCATGGCTCCTGTGAAACGGCCAAGAACCTGCAGGCGCTGCCTTTGCTCAACGAACTGGTTGCGGAGGGCCACTGGAATGGGAATGTCACTGGCTGCTCTCTTGGCAGCAAGATCCGCAACTCGGTTCCCTTTCCAAGCCCAAAGCGGCACACCCATGGAAAGAGCCTTGGGCCAGGTCTTATGGGCGGGAACATGGAAAACTCGAAACGAATCGCCACGGTCCCTCCGCCTGAAGTCAATTTCTTCCCAAAGCTCCGCATAGGGCAGGTTAGAGACATCAGCTTCCGCCCCTCGGTCCCAGGTCAAGACAGCGGACTGACAACCGCAACCAAGCTCAACATCGCCTGGGCCCGAGAGGCGGAGAGCCATGAGGATGGCGAACACCTCAGCGCCATAGATTGAATGCAGCGCGTGCGGAAGAGGACCACTGGCCGAGCCTAGAACATTACCACCTCCGCCCAGCATCACAACCGCCCAGGCAGCGACCGTGAAGAGGGGGAGGTCTGGCAAAAGAGCAGACCCATCGGAGCGCACGCGGCCTTGCACTTCGCCTCCTAGTGGGCAGACGCCCCACCTCCAGGCACCTGTGATCTGGAGGCGAGGGGTGAACCTGATGGGGGCAGGGAGGAGGCAGCGGGAGAGGCATGGATCATCATCCTCCGCACTCCTCCAACTCCGCAGCTCCTCATCAAAACCGAGCTTGCTGCGGCCCTCGTGCAACCCATCACAGACGAAGAGGCGGTGCTGTGAGGTCCCGCGGGCTCCAAGACACAACTGGCACCTCTGGTCGATGACCCGACGGTCTTGATACAGAACAGACTGGGTGACAAGGCCTCCTGCAACGTGAGTAGCAAGGAGGCTGGCCTGGAGACTGCCCCCTCTGCGACGCAGAGAAGCGCACGCCTCGCTAACTGCATCGAGCTGGGGATGAGAGACCTCCTGGCCCTGATGGCTCCACCGCAGCTGCCCAGACAACTGATCTTTAGTGCCACGGTCGACGAAAGCCTGCAAAAAAACCTTTCGGACCTTCTCGAGGTCTAAAGACAGGCCCGAGGGAAGAGACCAGACGCAGAAGCTCTGTGGGACCCACCCGAGCCTCCGAAGCGTCATGATCACAGCTCCCGTAGGTCCCTTACCGCAGACCACGTGAATTGATTTGCGCGGAAGCGCTCCAAAAGTAAATCGAACGTTGAACGCGACGCCTGCCTAGACGCCCATCCCTGCCAAAAAGCTTTCCCCCCTGCGAGGAGCGGCAGGGAGTTGCCCACAAAGGCTGGGTCGGCTTCGGGCGCAGGCGAAAGCCAGAACTGAATATTTCGAGACCGGCCTCTAGCAGGTCCAAAGAGCCCCTGGGCGACCGCACACCTAAGCCTCGAGAGGAGCATGTTAGAGATCCCAGCCACACTGACCCCGTACGAGCCTGCTGGGAGGGCGCCCACTTTGGAAATCATTGTGAGCCTGCGAAACTGGCTCTTGAGAGACCTAAAGCGGCCCGCGCGGGCCCTCACCATACATACGCGGCCAGCCTGGACCTGAACCCGACGACGGTCCCCCTGCGTGTACTCAGCACCCAGGTTCTTCACATGATGCGAGGACCGAAAATGCCACTTCTTTAAACCTGCAACAATATTGTCGGCGATGTCCGACGTGGTGGCCGTCGCGCGGCCCTTGGTCGTGGAGATGATGAGCCTACGGGCCTCGAGCATGCGGCACAGCGCGAGGGTGACCGCCAAACCTTCCTTGACCACCAGAGCTGCCGTGCCGATCGTCTGAGCCGCAATGTCGTCCACCACGTTAAACAGACGGGTGCGAGGGAACCGCCTGGCACAAAAATCGAGAACATCCAGCATCATCACCTGGAGAAGGGTGGTGGCGAAGCCGCAACCAGCAAGGATGGTGGACAGGATCCTTACAGGGCGCGACACTCGCTTACCTAGCAGGAGACTCCGCGGTGCACGATACACTTTCAGACACAACCGAAGGTGAAAAAGCGGAAACCCATGCTTCTTGGCCGCGCTAATCAGGTCCCTGTGTTGAACCTTCTCGTAGGCCTGAACCAAGTCCAAAAAGGAGTTTGTCGCGAACCCCTCCGTCAGCGCGGCGTTCTCGCTGGCGAACGACTGCTCCCAGACGGCCCTTTCGCAAGACTTGCCCCTGGCCCAGTAGGTGTAGCTCCGAAAATGCTCATCTTCCCAAAGACGGACCACCTCCCTGGAACAACGGGCCCAGACACGCACCACCATGCTGAGCAGCCCTATGAGCCGCGTGTCCCCTTCGGGCTTCGGGAGGGAGGGCATGGGGGCGAGGCCGATCTGCGCGGGCAACGCTCCCAGGGCCAACATCCAGTTCCACAGCAAGTTGAGGGCCTCGAGGCACTTGTCCGAGGCCACGCAGAAGTCCCTGGGGCCCAGGCGATCGACCCCGCGTGACGTCCAACCCCTGATCTTCCGCGCAACCTTACGAATGAACTCGGGCTCGTGCTGCGGCACAGGACGCCTCTGGGACTCCAGGAACGACGACAGCTCACGCATACATGCCTCTGGGTCCTCGTCGGCCTCGGGGCATGACCAGACCTCCCCCCAATCCTTGAGAACGTGCTCCAGCTCCTCCTCTGGGCCTGGGGGGGGGGGGCTCGCCACGCTTGGCCTGGATCGGCCTCCAACCCACAGGAAGGCGGGTGAACCTGTGGGCCTTGCCGCCACCGTTGGCGACTGCCTCCTTCACGTACAGGCGCCACTCAGCGGACCGACGGCAAGTGAACTCCTTCTCGCAACGGGTGGCCGGCCTCCTTCTTTGCGAGGTTGGCAAAGTCAAAGAGGCCGACGGATGACGTGCTGCTCCAATCTGCGGCGGAGAGAGAAACAGCGGCCCAGGCGGGAGAGTCTCTGATCGCCTTCGGCCCCATGCTGATCTTAGCGAGAAGGGAGGCGAGCGCGAGAGGCCTCCTGCACGCATCCTGGGACTAGATGTGGCCGAGCTCACGGAGCCAATTGGCCACTCGTCTCCAGCCCAACGCCTCCTGGCTAGCAACAGGGTGCGGACCTGGCGCTGGAGCGAATCCAGGGAGACGCTTATACTTCCAGCCTAAGCCCCTTCCTCGAAACCTATCCTGCTGCTCCTCTGGGATCCCGTGGACCCCGATAAGCTCATCCTCCATGCGCCCGACAAACTTCCCAAAGGCCTGGTTCAAGCTGCTCTGGTCCCCCTGCTGCTCGAGAGCCTCCAAGACGTCAGACCAATCTGGCGGGGCAGGATAGGGGCCAACTGGGATGTCCTGTGGAAACTTACGAGGGCCAGCATGGACCAGAATCGTCGTCGGCACAGCACGGGCAGCCAGACGGAGTCCCACGGGCCTGTGCGGGGCCAGGAAAGAGTTGACCGCCGCGGAGCACCCCTTGACGGACGGCATGAGGACATCTGAGACGACGAAGTAGTCCAAGACCCGCCCCTTGCCTGACCGACAAGTGACTTCACGTGGCGCAACAATCCGAGCCCGAACCCGACCCGGCCAGCCCATGGACGCCAGTTCCGAGGGTGTCGTATTCCAGCCGCCCCCAACAATAAAGGGCCTCCGAATAGCGTGGAACAACTCGTCCAAGCGCACAA